TCATTTTTCTGCAAATGGATCTCCAGTTTTGCCAGCACCATTTATTAAACAAACATTCTCTTCCCCATTTAATGGATTTGGGGCCTTTGTCAAACATCAGCTGACTATAGGTCGATGGATCTATATCTGGGTTCTCAATTCTATTCTATTGGTCTATGTATCTGTCATTGAACCAATACACCTCAAGTTATTCTTGATAATGAATCCCAATTACTTAAAAGTGAATGGCAGTGAGTTTGGTCCCCCCCCCCTGAGGTGTGGAATGGGGACCCAAGTTGAATGGGGACTCATAGTGACCCCTCCTTGGGTTTCTGAGGCCAGCCAGACACCTCTGACTCATGGTTTCCCTCACTGCCCTATGTTTCCCTCACCAGCGCGGGCAAGACACTCTTGAGATCTGAGTTCCACTTCAAAGCTGAAGTCTCTTCACTAGTGGAAGACACCAGTGGGAGCCAGGCTGAGAGGAAGAGTTTCAACCCATGGGGCCTGCACTGCCACCAGGCCCACCTGACCCGCCTGTGCTCTGAGTACCCAGAGAATAAGCGGCATCGTATCCCATGCCTGTCCTCCCTCCTGCACGTGGCCCCAGGGACAAGAAGGACCACCCAGCAGGGGTGGGGAGGGTGAAGGGGGAGACAGAGAGACGGAAAGAGATAAGACAAATGGAGGTAGAGTAAGACAACACAGACACACACACAGGATGGGAAGAGAGGACAGAGAGAGATGTGAGGGAGAGTTTGAGGGCATAAGCTCTCAAACCTGGGACCTAGAAGAAATCAGATGCCTCCAAAAGGAAAATCAGAGTATGGGCATCAGAATGGGAATTAAGCTGAACACAGTGCTCCTAGCAGTGTCTCTGCCACCTCAGTAGGAAGGCTGGTCTGGGGTTTTCTATGGGAACACAGGAATGATGCTGCCACCCTGAGTTGGGGCAGCAGGGGCTCAGAGGGCTAAGTCCCAGATCCCACCCCCACCCCCACCTCAGTTCCTTGCTATGCTTCTAAACTCTCCCTGCAGTCATCTTCCTGTGAGGGTGGTTCCTCCTTAAGGATGCTCCTGTGGAGTAGACTCTGAGGGGAGGTAGACCCCCTTGTCCACTAGCTGCCATGTCCTCAGTGAGCAAATGCAGGCCTGATGTGCCCCTTCATCACCACCAGGCTCCTTGCTGCAAATGGGTGGCGGGTTTCACAGTATTTACTAAGACACATCTGCAACCCTAATCCCTAAGAAGCTTTTGCAGGATAATTACTCTGCTGAAATTAATATTCCTGCAACTCATCTCTGAAGCTAACATCAACCCACTTCTCCCAAAAGGTACTGGCCCATTCAGTGACTTGAGGTTTTAGCCTTATGATTTTTCTCCCATAAAATGTAAATTGGGTATGGTCTGCCAGGGATTTCATGCCTGCATTTAAATTCCAACCTAAGAGCAAAAGGGAAAAGAGAAAAAACCTTGCATACTCATAAACTCACCATAAATAAATGGACTTATTAAAGCAGCCTACAAAGTTAATACCTTGAATTCTTAGTAGCAGCAATGAGCTTGTCTGTAACAGAATGGGAGTGAAGGAGAGATGCTCAGAGTAGGGAATTTCCAGGCAGCTTCTGAGCTTTGCTGGCTGCCTCCTGAGGGGCGGTGGCCTTTCTGTCCTCAAAGCCTTCCTTGACTTAGTGTGACAAGGGTTCTTGTTGCTGGAAAACGTGGTGTCACAGTACAAGCATCCCTGCATCTTGGATCTGAAGATGGGGACACGGCAACACGGGGATGACGCATCCGAGGAAAAGAAGGCCCGCCACATGAGGAAGTGCGCGCAGAGCACCTCGGCCTGCCTGGGCGTGCGCATCTGCGGCATGCAGGTGAGTGGCGGTGGACCTGCTACAGGGGAAGCATCCTGGCATGTCACTGGGGAGCAAGTGTGTCTCCCACCCAGATACCACTGCCCCCCAAAATCCTTCACTTTGGCAGAGCAACAGAGGAGGGACCAGGCACTGCTCTGTCAACAAGAAAATGCATATCCTGGAACATGATACACTGGGGCTTTTTAAAAGAGGATGAGCCAGTACCAACTACTGACAAGTTGATTCTCACTCATGGCGACCCTGCATGTATTAGAGCAGAACTGTGCTCCATAGGGTTTCCAATGGCTGATTTTTTCACAAGTAGATCACCAGGACTTTCTTTCAAGGAACCTCTGAGTGGGTTTAAACCGCCAGCCTTTCGGTTAGCAGCTGAGCTGGTGTGCACCACCCAGGGACTTCTCCCTCAGGACAGACAATAACCAAAGAGGGGGAGGACCCAAACTCACTTCCTTGAGTCGATTCTGACTCGTGGAGACCTCTTGTGTTACAGAGTAGAAATGAGCGCCATAGAATTTTCAAAAGCTTTTCTGCAGTCTTTATGGAGGATCACAGGTCTTTCTTCTACAACGCCAACTAGGTAGGTTCCAATCACCAACCTTTCAATTAGCAGCTAAGTGGTGTACAGAACGCCTTTCTTTAAAAAAAATTTTTTACTGTGATTTGGGTGAAAGTTTACAGAGCAAATTCATTTTCCACACAGCAGTTCATACACATTTTGTTTCATGACATTGACTGCAATTCCCCACAACGTAACAGCTCTCTTCCCACTTCCTCCCTGTAGTTACCTCTTCCCTCTGTCTTTCTTTCCTATGTATTCCTGACCCCTGAGCTATCTCCCTGTGTAAACACTGTCCTTCTGTTCTCCCACGGTCGCTCTAAGGAATGTATCTATCTGATGTCTGATGTAAATGTTCACCCTCTATGCCGGCCTATTGTTTGGCTGGAAGCCACAGGAGTGAGTTCAATTCCAGACCTGAAGGGTAACTAGGGGCCATAATCTCAGGGGTCTCACCAGGCTCTATCAGACCAGTAAACCTCATCCTTTTTTTTTTTTTTTTTTTTATGATTTTGATTTTGTTCCACATGGTTCTCCCACTCTATCCAGGATCTCCTGCATTGATCCCTTTCTGAGTGTTTGATAGTGGTAGCTGGGCACCATCTAGTTCTTCTGGTCTCATGGTTATATTGGCTGAGGATTGCATGGTCTACTAGTCCCTTGGACTAATTTTTTCCATCCTCTTTGGTTTTCTTCACTCTTCTTTGCTGTGGACAAGGAGAAACCTACTGTTGCATCTACCAAAAACCAAACCAAACTCACTGCTGTCAAGCTGGATCTGACTCATAGAGACCCCTCCTTGGGTTTCTGAGGCAGTATCACTATAGAAGTAGATTGCCCAACCTTCCTTCTGAGGAAGGGCTGATGGGATTGAACCAACAGCCTTCTTCTGGTTAACAGTCAAATGCCTTAGGCACTACACCACCAGGGCTCCTCTGCTGCATCTGTTGTTGTTGTTGTTATGTGTCATTGAGTCGAACCCGACTCACAGAGACCCCTCCTTGGGTTTCCTAGGCAGTATCACTACAGAAGTAGATTGCCCTTCCGAGGAGTGGCTAGTGGGTTTGAACTGCCTGAAAACCCACCAATTTTTAACTGTCTCAGTCTTGGCAGCTGAAATGTTCCACAGTGGCCATGTGGGTCCTGCCCATGTTGAGAGCAGCCCTTTGATGCCCATGTGTGAGAAGAGGCTGGGGAGAGAACTAAGAGAAACTGCTTCTCTGTGCATGTCGTGGCTTCCTGCTTTCTCAATCTCTAGAATGATAAAGCTGAGTCCTCTCCTTCTCAGAGGCTATAAGAGAGTCTGCTATTGGATTCTTATTAGCCATTCCTCCTTCTTAGTCCACATTTCCTGCTCCTTTTTGCTAACTGTTCTAGTTAACCAAGTGGGAAGGTAGTAACTTGCTAAATTCAGGCAAAGGAGGGTTAATTTTTTTTTACTGCCCAGATTCCACGCTTCATATTTGCTGCTCTGATGTGGCTTATAGCAGAGGCTGCAGGAGAACAGGAGTAAATAAACTTTCTCCACTCACTCACTCTTATAGGCTGTCTACTCAAAGCAAAACCAGACACCAATTTGACGGTAAACGTTATAGCTTTCCTTAATTGAAACTGCCACCCCTTGAAGCTGGAAGTGGAGTCTATAAATTTGTTGCACAGATGTCCCTTGCAAGGCTTAGAATGCAGTCTTCAAGAGAATGGAGTGCAATGATTTGTGGGGTAAATGCAATCTCTCTCTGGACTTCAACCTCCTGAAATTGATCTGATTTATTTAGAAAGTGAGGCCTGTCATGTATTTATGACAGCTAATTTAGAAGACGATCGCCAGACCTCTAAAGATAACACTGAGACCATCCTATCTTGCAGATTTTCTTCAACACTGGCTTTCCGTAAACATATCATGTAATTTGAAGGTAGGAAAAACCTAAGGAACTGTCTTGGCCAGGTACAGGCAGCCCTTGCCAGGTGTGCCAGGCAGAGATGTGCCAAGTCACCCTCTGGCCATGCCAGCCACTGGCCTTGGTTCAGCTTCTGCTGCTGCCTGTGCCACTAGAATGAAATGGGGGTAGCTGCCACTGTCCCCCCATCAGCATCTCTCTTCCATCTGCTCCCTTCCAGTGGCCAAGACATGGCAGGGGAGGGGAGAGGGGACAGTGCCAAGGAGGGGAGCTGCCAGCACTGGAGAGTTTTGTGAGCCTCCCTCTTCCACCAGGGGCCCCTCAGCTACATGAGGCTGCCTGGAAACTCCATTCATATTGGATCTAGCCTGTCTCTTTATCTTCACACAATTCACCCCAATCCACCCCCAAGAGCCATTACTGTTTCCTTTGAATCTGCAGAGAAAGGACTTTATAAACTTTGTTGAGGAAAATTTAATCTAGTTGGCTTTCCAAGGCCATTGGCTGTGATTTCAGATTCCTTTCTAGCTTGGGTTTGCTAATATTTGAATTGAAGAGGGCCAGATGCCAGGGCTTAAATCATGATTTGGAAGTTGACATTGGAAATTCACAAGAGAGGCAATCCAAGCCTTTTCCTCCTGGGTAGAGAGTCACCTCTGTAGGGTGAAGATTCTTGAGATCTTGGGTTACTATTAAAGGCCTGTACAGAAAACATTTTAAAATGGAAAAGCTATGTTGGTGTTTCATGGAAGATCACCTTGCCATTCGTTTCAACCATTCTTGCCCTACATCTCCTGGAAATCTGTTTATAGATTAAGTTAGCTTGTGATGCTGCAGCCATAGCATATACAAGATTTTTTTTCTAAGTTAGCAGTTGTTCACATTTTCTCTTTCTTCTTTTTAATGCAAGGTTTATCAAACTGGCAAGAAGCACTTTCTCTGCAAAGACAAATACTATGGAAGAAAACTCTCAGTCGAGGGGTTCAGACAAGCCCTCTGTCAATTCCTGCACAGTGGAACCCGCTTCCGCACAGAGCTCCTAGAGCCCATTCTGCACAAGCTCCGGGCCCTCCTCATGGTTATTAGGAGCCAGAGCTCATACCGGTTCTACTCCAGCTCTCTCCTCATCGTCTATGATGGACAGGAGCCCCCAGAAAGAGCATCAGGCACCCTGTATCCTCAAGAGGCTCCACAGACAGCCCTTGGCAGCTGCCCTGGAAACCTCCCCAAAGTCGACATCCGAATGATAGACTTTGCACACACGACATACAAGGGCTCCTGGAATGAGCTCACCACCTATGATGGGCCAGACCCTGGCTATATTTTCGGCCTGGAAAACCTCATCCAGATCCTACAGGATATCCAAGAAGGAGAATGAAACTCGTTGGGCTTATCTGGATGTTTCTAGGGTACAGATCTCAAAAGGGACCTATCGGTAGCCAGGGTAGTCTAGATACCCCTCAGCTTTGTAACAATCACATCTACCTTCACAAGCCAGCTCTACATATGGCAGGCTCTATTAACAGCAGCTAAAGAGACCAGCTCTGGTGGTAATTCCACATGCCCTGGCATCTTGTAGAATGGACAGTCAGTATAAAGTGCTACTATTATGAATACTGGAAGGGTGCACATGAGTTAAAGGCCAGTATTTGCATCTAAAAATGCTGTCTTTTTATCATGTTTCAGTCCTTACAAGCTATGAGGCAAAAAAAAAAAAAAAACTTTACTTGAAGAAGTCTTGATGCTCATGAGTTTTCTGCTCACAGGGGCAGCCTGCTCCGAGGGAAGGCAGAACTAATAAATGTTTCTTACCTTCCTGAGAGGCGTTTCGGGTAGGGCAGGATGAAGTGGGACAAATATGTCCTCCTTAGCTTGCTTTGTACCCAGGTTCTGATGGACAAGGAAAATCCCAGACCTGAGCCCTGGCAAACCAAGACCCCAGTTTCTCCATTTCTGCCTGTAGAGAGGGCATCTCCTTACAGACTTCTGAGTGCCTATTGGAGATGATGATTCTTCCAGATTCTGACCATGGAGAGGCTCCCACCATGAAAATGTAGCTTCCAGTGGGGGTGGAATGCACGTGAGGAGGAGCCACTAGAGTTGAGCCACATTCTTTGCCTTCTATTTATTTATTTTGGGGGTGGGTTGGAGGAGTCCGAAAGAGGAGGCCTGGAGGATTGAGACTCCAGGGACAATGTTTACAGGACTGGTGGACAAGTGTAAATACAGAACAAAGAGCAAACAGTTCTAACTAATTTCTTCTTCTGCAGCGTGGAAACCTATTACATGCCGTTGAGTCAAGCACTGAAATATGTTACTCAATTAGGGAAATAAATTTGTTAATAAAATTGCTCAGGTCACCAGTGATTATCTGGTGCACCTTATTACCCTTCCTGTTTGTTTATTCTGATCATCACACTGTATGGTGGTTGGAATTGCCGGGCAACTAGAGTACACAGCAACAGTACACGGATTTCCCACAATCCTTCAGGGAACCTGGGTGGGAAATGGTGGCTGGTAAAACATTTGCATATGTCTGCAAAGCAGGCGGCACCAGACTTGAGGAGTAAGTGGTCCTTTCATGTAAACCTTGTAAAACACAAGATTAAATAACAATTTTTGGATTCTCAGCAGTAATTACCATTAACTTTCCAAAATCCACAGTACTAGAAGCAAAGAGTGGCCTGGATGATTAAAAAGAAAAAAGAAAAAAAAAAAAACTTTAAATTTTGGGATACATTCTTAGGACTTAAGAGGAGATTAACTTGCTTAATTATGTTTGGCCTGGGTAACAATGCCATTAACTTGCATGTTCTGTGCTCACGGTGGGAGAGGTGAGTCAAAGCATATTGGGTGGCAAAAGGGAGTTAGACTAAAACTAAGTATTCACTAATGACAAAAAACACCTGTGCAGAGTGCAATGTCAACCAAAAACCAAACACACTGCCACAGAGTAAATTCCAACTCATAGCGACCCACACTGGGATTCTAAGGCAGTAAAACTTTACAGAAGTAGATTGCCCAGTCTTCCTTCTGCAGAGTGGTTGGTGGGTTTGAACCACCAACCTTCTGGTTAGCAGTCAAATGCCTTAGGCACTGTGCCACCAAAGATCCTTAATGATAAAAAGGAGTCCTGAATACTACTTGTCCTGGGCCTCTTCCTTGTTTGAGAAGTTGGTATCTCACAATCAAATCCAAAGTTCCGTCGCCTGGCTTCTGATTCCTCCACCCCTTCTCAGCCTTGGATCTTGTGGGACTCACCTGAGGACAGCTAGACTCAATGAGTCTGGATTCTTGTGCACAGCTTTGCAGACTGAGAAACTTAGCTGAATAAACCCACTCAACTGACCAGAATCTGGGAAGAGGGAGAAAAGAAAGGTATGGAAAGAAGAGAAGAAGATGGGGTATGAATATTTCCAATCCTTACTTGAAAACGGCAGAAGTAAAGGATCTCTAGATAATCCGGCAATCAGTAAATGTATACTGAGCAGCTATCCCATTTTATCTCTTTGCTAAGTGCTGTGGAAGATTCAGCTCTTGAGGAGCTTAGACTCTAGCTGAAGAGGCAAGAATAACACACATGAATGGACAATGAACCACACAAGATAGTACCTAAAGATACAGGGGATTAAACTGTGTGGTACAGATAATCAAAGACTATAATTTCAAGGTGAAGGCTGGCTGAGAAAGAGTCATCACAGAAACTGTTGGAGGAGGTGAGCCCTCACCTGGACCCTGAAGGATGACAGGAATGGAGAAGAGGCTGGAGGATCAGCTATGTGGGAAGTAAACAGAAAGAGTGAGAGGAAAGAAAAGTCCAGCATGCTCATGAGCCTGTGAATAGACAAACCCATTCCAAACAGGGGTTTTGTGGTTGGGAGTAGTGGAAATAAAGAGTAGAGATGGAGTGAGGCCAGAGGGTAGAGATACTGGAAAATCTGGCCAAGTAGCTCATGAATTTGTTGATTTGTGATTTCATTAATTTGTCCTTCCTTCTTCCTTTTTTGAAAATAAATCTTCATTTTGAACTTTATAAAAAGCAATGCAATGCAATACCCCATACACTGTAAAAGGCTCTTGGCTGACCTTTCTTTCCTAGACTGGATAAATATTTGTTTGAATTAACAAACATATTGGTATTAATTAGGGTAGGCTAACTGCTCTAACAATGCCCAACTCTCAGAGGGTTAACACACTACCATTCAGTGTGGTCGACAGAAAGCCTCTGCTCCCACACAGTCATCAGTGACCTAGACTCCTCCTATCGTGACACACAGCCACAGGTCCTGCTGATAGGCAAGAGTTACACAGCATGGAGAAGAGACACCAAATTCCATGGACTCAACATTTAACACCATATACTAGTGTTAAATGCTGCCTACCGTGTTCTAACATGTGTAATAACTGTCAGGGTACAGTGCTCTTGTTGATCTTGCATTCAGTGAGGATAAAATTCCCTTTTTCTTTCTTTCCATCCATCTATCCATCCATCCAACAAATATTTAGCAAGGACATATGGCACAGTGCTAAGGCCTGCATAGGAAACAAAGGTAGTGTCAAGACAGTGATGCTATCCTTAAGAACCTTATAATTTAATGAGAGTTAAGACCTTCATATGAAAATATAATGGGTGCTTTACTAAGTGATGAGGGCCATCTGCTCACCTGTGCAGAGTGCTGCCCCAGGGTGCAGAAGCAGTAAGGGTCCACTGCCACATGGGGTGATAATCGAGGTTATTATTTGAGTTATACCTTGAAAGCAAGTCATGTCTGACAGGTGGTAAAGAAGGAGCAGATGTTCTAAGAAGGACAGAAAAGCATAGAAATGGAAAATCAAGCATTCTTTTCAGAAAATAGCAAGTGGTATGTGTTGGCTGCAGGGGGCTCACATACAGAGTAGCAGAGAGAGGGAAGATAGCAATGGAGAGAGAGAGGGAAGATAGCAATGGAGAAACTCCAAACTTGAGCACTAGAAAGAACTTCTGACCTTCCACCTCTGCTGTGCCTTCTTGCCTGGACTAGTGTAAAAGGCTCTTGGCTGACCTCTTTTTCCCCAGACTGGATAAATCTTTGTTTGAATTAACAAACACATTGGTATTAGTTAGGGTAAGCTAACTGCTCTAACAATGCCCAAAGCTCAGAGGGTTAACACACTACCATCCAATGTGGTCGACAGAAAGCCTCTACTCCCACACAGTCATCAGTGACCTAGACTCCTCCTATCGTGACACACAGCCACAGGTCCTACTGATAAGCAAGAGTTACACAGCATGGAGAAGAGACACCAAATTCCATGGACTCAAATTAGTCATGTAGCCATACCCAGGTGCCAGGGGGCTGAAAGTTTGTGTGTCTAGGAAGAGGAAATAGGTTTGATGAGTACTCAGCCAGTCTCTGCCAAATCCTTGTCTCCATAATCCTTATGTCAAGATGATACCTGACTTAAGAGAAAAATAGAGAAATAAATGAATGGAGAGTAGAAGGGGACAGCTGGGCTGAAGTGACAGGGCTGTGGGTTCTGATCCAGCTCTTTCCCCAGCTGTGTCATCATCACACACCACTAGTGTGCTAGGAACCCTGGTAGACTGGCTTAGCATCTCCCTCTCCCTCAGTTTCCTCCTCTGTCTGATAGGGACTGTGACTTTGTCCTCAAGAAAGGTAATGGAGAAGAGCAGACATGGATCATGACCATGTCAGTAGAGCAACCTGGCTTTGACATCCCCACCAGGAGCAAGGGCAACTGGGAGACAGTCATCCACCCCCACCCTGTCCCTCTGGTGTCCCCTGTGTGATTAAAGAAGCAGCTAAAGAGCGGAATGTTATTACAGATTTTCCATAATGCGATGTCATCAGGAAGCCCTGGGCCTCTGGGCAGCATCCTGGCAGCCCCATCACTCTTCTCAGCTGTACAAAGCCTCTTAGACCGCACTGGAAAGGGCAGGAAGCAGTCTCAGAAAACAAATGGCAAGGCAAGACTACTCATCAGCAGCTCTTCAAAATGATCTAAACTTTGGACTTTTGATTTAAATCTGCATCCTCGGTGGCCAAAAACATAAAGCAGAAGATGAGGGAAAGAGCAAAAATAAAAGTGCGGGTGCCAAGAACTAGAGGGAAGGGAGAGAACAAGAGCAGCCGCCCTGGGACAAAACTGTGCTGAGCTCTAAGTGAGAGAGCCAGGCAGGTTGACATGCAGCCAGGTTCAGGTCCTTTTTAATACTCATCTCTCAGACCTGTTCTCTTCTATTATGAAGCTGCCCTGAAATGGGACAGAAAGTTTGAGAGCTAATCCAAGAAGCAAATCTGGAAAACTACCTGCCTGATTTACCATTAGCCTTTCTCCCTCAGTTCTCCAAAGATGAATATCCTAAATGAACAGCAG